ATAAGAATTCATTCGTTTCAAGTGCATAAGAGGAATAAATTGGTGTACATGCAGTGAGATTATCCGTATACTTAACGAAAGTGTTCTCTGTAGATACCAAATCAAGCAGAAAAAGGAGAAAAGATAAAGGAAAAGAACAGTTCCGTGTACCACACCTTCTTGACTCAGTAAAAACGTCGAAAACTTTCCTCCAAGTACAGTATACTCTTCTCTTCTAGAGAGGTAAGAACATAGCCAGTCGGTTATCCAGTTTTCGGCGTTGGTGCTGGTAAACTTGCTTAGTAGTGATGGTCTTGAAAAAGAGTCAAGGGCAGAAGTTTAGTCCACAAATGAGCATCAAAGATAGTTCATACTCTTTCCCAAAATGAACAGCATATTATGACGCAGAATAACAACAGCATCTTATATACTTCTTTTGCATGTGTAAGCAAACCGACATGGGTCGATATGCTATTCTAGTTCATGTTGAAGTGGAAGTGACCATATTTTTTCCATTGTTTTAAGAAGAGAAAAAGTTATTGACCTAAGTTACAATTTTTATCGCCAGTTACTTCCTTTGGCATTGCGATTATCTTTATCTTTCTCCACATTAACGGTATAAAACTAGTTGACAACGATTCGTTAAAGGCAGTTGTGGATGGATGACAAAGAACATCAGCAGACTTCTTAAAAAGTAGGTTTGGCATTTCGTCTGGCCCTAAACATTGGGAAGAGTTAAGTGACTGCAAACATTTACAGACATCAGTTTAAGTAAAAATTAGGACAAAAATATCCTTCAAACTTGTGGACGTAGGAAGCTTGACAGCAGATGATTAAAGTACAAAAAAACTTATTTCAGTCACGAACAATCAGCTGGGTATCGCCGCTAATGCGTCTCCCACCTTTAATCTCTTTAAATAATTCCCACCCATTTGGACAGATTTTACAAGATAAAAGTTTCTTAGCAAAAATCGAATTCAGACCCTTAATTTCTTGGTTTATAGGACCACTTGGCTTTTAAAATTCAGTGGGGCTTTTCTCCCTGTACATTCTTTCTCTTTCCCTGTGTCACCGTTTTAATTATGGGGAAGCCAGTCGACAAAAACTTACATAAAGTTTCACTGTGATAACAAACATAAAAAAAGAATTTAAGATAACAAGTAACAACACCTTTATTTTCGATGGGTCATTTGTAGGTAAATTGCAGTTTGTCGTGCAGAGCATGTTATTCAGATCTTGGATATTTTCTTCTGAGCGATTCTTGTATTTAACTTGTCTGATTTAAGAGTGTACTATTTCCAGGCTTGCCATAAACATACACGAATAAAACAATGATCAGGACTATAAAATGGAGCATGTTCGCAAATTACATTTATTGCCACTTCATTAGTGAAAACTAAGTCTAAATGTGCATATCGTTATGCTAAGACTTGGAAAAATCACTATAATCTGCTTTTAAAAGAAACAATACCATTATTGTACGTTGTTTGTGACTAAACGAGTCATTACTCGGAAATGTTACACCCTCAACTTAACTAAAACTTAATTGGAACTTATGATTAATTACAACATTACGGCACAATCACTTTGACTTAACTGTACGATGCAAAATTAGTGATACGATAGGGAAGATACATGGACGGTATGGTGATTAAAACACAATTATTTTTCCCCTATTAGCCATAAGCTCGAAAACGTTTATATAAAACAATTTCGAGGAATGAGTCAGCACAATTTATTGGTGTACGAAAAATTCGGCGTTTTAAGGTCATTGCTACAAAGTAATGAAAATTCTAGATATTAAAGTACGGTAAACAAAACGGGCTTGTCAGCCTTAACACCTATATTTTACACCACGCTGATTCTCATAACACCATATACTCTTACATCCTAATTAGGCATTTGAATATATTTCTTAAGCACACTCCGAATCGCAATTGCCAATTGACATGGATTTATAGGACTGAGTATGCATGGAAAACTTAGTTAACAGCATCTAATGAGTCTCGTTACTCAAATGTAGCTCAATTTTATAGGATTAAAAGGATGCATGTATAGAATGAGTTCATCATGTGGAGTGGAATATAAAAACACTCCTTGATTATTCCGAAATACCTGAGGCGTATTTTAAGTGTAGAAACCAAGCACATCGACAAAAAAGATAGCAAATAACTTCCGTGTAACTAAATTCCCTGAAAATTAATATGTACAAAATATAATACATGTAAAAGTTAATAAGCCTTGTACAGTACATGAACATTTAACTGACCGCCACGTGTTTTCCCGACTTTATATAAATATCATGGGATGTTTGGAAGTACTCTGGATTACTTAATTATCATAACACTTTTAAATAAGCTATATTTAATGTAATAACAATAGTATAATTTCTACGGTAATCCAGTCATATATATGCTCCTAATGTATCAAGCTTTTCATAAGTTTGATATTCGTATACTTGTGTGTAATAATAATAATTCGAATGAAATGCCGTGGATTGGTACTGCAGTTTTACCATACCGTCATGGTACAACAGAAGAACTCCAAGGAATCTTAAAACAACACAGAATTAAAGTATATTACAAAAAGACGAACAGACTTTGAAATATTTTAGTTCGCTTAAAAGAAAAAATCCCTTTCATGTCCACACAGAACTGCGTCTATAAATTCAATTGTGTCGATTGTGATGCCTTCTATATTGGAGAGTCATCTCGAGAAATCTTGACTCGTGCTAAAGAACATATTAGGTACACAAAGAAACCTCCTAATAATCTCGTGGGACTGGATAAACTTCAAATTAAGTCGGTAATAGTAATTCATGCCATTTTCAACTTTCAACGAATTGATTTTTAAAATATTAAAATATTACAAAAAGGCTTTTCCAATTACAAGGAAAGAAGAGTAGCTGAAGCGTTCCATATAATGCTTAATCTTACTTCTCTCAGTAGAAAAGAAGGCCTTACCATACATCCTACTTGGACTATCTATCCCAGCCACCTAGTCTGATGTTATTTACAATTCACACTATTATCTCACAAATTAAACTCTATGCTTTCTCACCATAAATGTCACACAATTTTCATCCTTACATGCACACATACATACACACAAATTTACACACATGTCGCTTGTGAATCACCTTGACCGAAATGATATGACATTGATTGATTTTTTCAGACCTGTTTTTTGATTGGTCACATAATATTCGTGTAGTTCCGTTGTACAATTTAAACTTAATTTTAATTTGGCTATTTATTCTCTGAAGAAGTGGCTTACATTAAGTCACGAAACGTCATAAAATCTATTTTTTCTACTCATTGGGACATTATAAATATACTATTGATTTATGACAATCTACCCGATGCTCAATTTATTCGAAATTATCAGATCAAACCTTGGTAATGATACCTACTTGTAACAAAAGTTTAATTTTTTTGATAAGTCCCAGTTGCATTGATCGAAATTATAATTCAATTCGATGAACTAAAGTTATTTTTAAGATTTGGAAAATTCTTTGAAATCAAATACATTGAAAGTAATGAAAAGGATTTACTCATTCAATAGAACATCTATTCGTTCCCAAAAGGCGGATGATAGTTGAGATGTTAATCAAATGCCTATGAAATAATTAAGGGCTCTTGCCTACTTAGTAGAAATTTCGGTGAGAATATAATTTATGGACGACTCCGAAGTGACCTTGGGGATATCCACCTACTAACTAGGACCACATGAGGGTTGTAAAACAGTGTGAGAAATCAGAATTATAATTTACAGTCAATGGTTAGGGTTATGATTTATATTAAAAAGTTTTCATTACAAACCAACATTAGCTAAAATGCCAAAACGCTATTTAGCCAAATGGACGAATGAATTTCGCGACAAAATCCAAGTCCTGTTATTTTATACTAATTGATTCATCAATAAATTATAGTCTTACCGAAATTGCTTTATATTATATTAGTTAGCTACAGATGAAAATGATGAAATGTTATATTGTGTGAGTAAAAAGTATTCATCTCATCCTTTGAAAGAAGGCGTTAATAAGGGATAATTTCAACAAGAAAAAAGATATATTTATATTGTTAAATCAACGAAACACAATTAATAAAGAGCATGGCAAATATATCCGAGTGTGATTGTGTACAAGATGATGTCAATTAGTAGTTATGTTAGATCTCATCAGAACAAAACAAAAAAATAGCGAAATCCAACACATAATGCGTGAGAAATTTCTTTTTAAAAAATATTTCAATACATCTTTTAGAATAGCAAATATAAGAATATCACTGATATATACTGTAAATCGGAGAAATGAAAATACTTTAAAAAATACCCACATGTTCTCTCTATAGAAGACTAAATAAATAATACACAAAAGCTAGGAGTTAATAACAAACACTTAAAAAATTAGTAAATGCAAAGAATGATGAAAGTAATTACTCAAACGAAGTATTTGCGATGAAAAGTAAAATAGACGAGTTGCTTCTTGTCATAAAGAGATTGATATTGAAAAACTTAAACATAAACAGCGGGTATTGGACATGGAATTTATGAAAAGTTTCAAATTTATAACGAAACAATTACTTGTTGTGGTTTGTCCGGCTTCAATCAAAGAAAATAATCCTTTTGAATGACAAAGTCTTTACAGGAAAAAGCTACATATGTAATAATCTTATTACTCATCACCATACATTTTATGATAAAAACGAAAATAAAACTTACAGATTATAATTTATTCTCATGAGAATAATATGACCATTTATCCTTGAATCTGTTAATGGGTTGTTCAATTTAGTGAACTTATACAATGTGAACACATAAAAGTGGAATATTAACCATTTGATCAAATGATATGCCATTATTTACATCCATGTAAGGACGACAACATAAGCATGCATAGCAAACAAAACTGATAACCATAATGAGCATAAAGTATTGGTAGAATTACAAAATGAATGCTTTATTGATTTGAAATAACACCACGTTTATATCCGTATTGAGGCGTGATGAATCTTCTTCAGTTATCTTATTTGTTTACAGTTAAGACGTTGATGAGTTTGTTCAATATAATCAGGGAGAACCATTGCGGACACAAAATCAGCCGATAAATAATCGTGACAAGCGAATTTCCACGTCCATAACTTTGCTAATTCTTCGAACTGATACTTATCCCAATCATACAAAGCACCAATTACTGGTTCCATACAAACACGTGTATGTGGATCAGTTAAAAGGGCTAAAATACTAATTAAAAGCTTCTCTAAACTCAATGCTAAACACCAGTTATGCCTGATTGAATCCAATCCGACATCACCATGAAAGCTGATGTTCGGATGCAATATACGTGTAAGAAAACGTATCACAGGTGGTCGAAAAGGATAACTATCAGGAACGAGAATAAGAACGTGAAAAAATCCACCTTGATATGGGGACTGTGGTGGACCTTCGATTCCAGCCAGGAAGTGAGAATATGTTGTCGTATCTAAAGTAATAATTTTTATGCCGTAAGGTGGATCAGCACATAGGTTTTCAAATTCATGTTTAATTCGTTTATATCGAACTTTTGGAGCTTCGATTGGGAATACAACTGGTAAGCGTAAACGTTCTAAACAAAATCTACAAGTAACACTCTCCATCATATTGAGGTAAAGAAGCCTCCAACTTTCAACTCGGCAATTAGGATTAAAGAGTGGCCATCGAAATGATACATAGGACTCCCATTGTTGTTCTGATATCTCACTATCGATTACCGCACGACATCTGGGTGACGCTTGACGTAGAGACCACAAACATATGTCATCTACCATGAGAAAAACACGCAGTAAAATTTCAGTTGGAAGATCCTCAAGGCTCGGAGACATACATGAACTACAAGATTTGATCTTCCTATTGGAAACAGGTGATAGGTAATCAATTACAGGGTAATTTGCATAGGATGTAGTAACATGAGATTGTTGTAGGGGACATGTAGCTGGAAAAATTCGAGCACAAGACGGCCGAGATTTGACAAGCACATGATCTTGTGAAGTGACTTCTGAAGTGGGAGAATTCCAAGCAGCTGCAAATAAATCTGATCCTTTATCTGGTTCTTCATTTCCACTGTCATTGGATGCTTCTTTTTCTTCAAATAAACGATTTTCAGTCATTTGTGGTAAACTAAACTCATAAATGAAAGCATGGCAAGATGAGCACACTGGTTGCTCACTACCGAAGTCATAGTACCCTTCACAAAATTTACAGACCACACTCTAAAATAGAATAAATAACAAGTATTTGAAAACCGACAATATGGTAAATAAGTTATATACCGTGCAACCTAATTTCTAATGTGATCATACAGACAGACATTATCAACATGGAGCCCAACACAAATATGAGTTGCCTCAAGTTATTATACTTAATTAGCACGAGGTAAAAATAACAAGAGATCGAAATAATGTAGTAGCGATCATAAAAAGAACAGGTTTCGGGACCACGGTTTAAAAGCACAAAGTGAAAAAGTTTGGACGGAAAATGTGACAATTTCAGATACAGAGAAAGATAAACAGCGAATGCATATGCGTTTTCGTGAACGACTAAAGTGCTAACCAAAACCTTTGACCACTAATAGTGGTTATAACGTGGACTCCAACTGAGTAGTCTGGATCTACCAACATAGTCAGTGACTTCATTTTTATTATTTATTTTATTTGAACACATAAATATTGGTACAGGAGGGAACCAAATATATATGTGCCATACAAAACAATGGGAATTTGAAGAGGAGAAGGGGAAAAAGGTGAGGAGCGTAAAAAAAGAATAATAACGAACAGAATAAGATAATGTAGCGTAATAATAATAATAATAATAATGGAAGAAAAGAAAAGGTACAATCAGAAGAAATCTTTCAGTTAAGGAAGAAGCAACCACTTTTTTACGAAGAAAGTAAAAGAAGGTTACAGCAGGATCGCCACTGGTTTCTGTTCTGAGCCATATCTAATAATGTCTCTAGCCACTGTGTTGCACCATCTCTCGGACCCCAACCAGGGAGTCGTGAAGGACCAACACAAGCCAGCCCTTTGCAGCTTTCTTTCATACCACGACACCATGTCATGCACTGACCACCTCTCCGCTTCTTCCAACCAGTCCCAGAGTCGGCAAATAATGCACGACGTGGAATTCTCTGGGACGGCATTCGTAGAACATGTCCAAGCCACCGAAGTCGGTGTTTCAAGATGGCGACACCAATTAAATTATCATCTCTGTGCCCGAACACACGATGCCGAACCTCTGCATTACTGACATGGTGTTGCCACTGAATGTCAGCAATCCTTCGGAGACAGCGATGATCGAACACAGAGAGTCGTCTAACGTCCTCAACTCGGAGAGGCCAGGTTTCACAAGCATAGAGCAAAACTGCTCTCACCGACGCGTTGTAGATCCGACCTTTTACAGACAGACTGGCATCACGAAGGCGCCAAACATGGCCCAGATTGGCATAAGCCGCTCTTGTTTTCACTATACGTGCATTGATCTCATCACTCACACCCCCACTAGCACTTATGCAGCTACCCAGATACACGAACATCTCGGCTACTTTTATCTGCTCACCATCCAGGGTGAGTACAGGATTAGAATCCTGCCAGTCTTGTAGAAGTACTTTGCACTTCGAAGGTGCAAAGCACATACCCATACCTACGGACACTGATTGCCAACCGATTAAGTGTGGATTGCATACCTTGGGCATTATCGCACAGTAAGACAATATCATCCGCATACTCAAGGTCGAGGAGTCTTTCTCCAGGCAACAGATCCACACCACCATTACTTACATTCATCAGAGTTGTTTCCAGAATGTCATCGATGGGAAAGTTGAAGAGGAATGGTGAGATTGGGCAACCCTGCCTAACCCCACTGCTCGGATGGACCAATGGAGAGAGGTGGTTGTATGCCCTCACTCTGCCTGAGGTGTTTTTATACAGGGCTTTTAGGATGTTAATAAACTTCTCAGGCACACCCTTCTTCAATAGACAATCCCAGAGAACAGTCCTGTCCAACGAATCGAAGGCAGCCCTGATGTCAAGAAACACTACGATTGTTGGCCTTTGATAAGTATGGCGGTGTTCCAACATTTGGCGGAGGGTGAAGATATGATCAATGCATCCCGGACCGGAACGAAAACCAGCCTGCTCCTCGCGAGTCAATCTTTCTCGGGTTTTGAACAACCTATGAAGTATGACGTGAACCCTTCTTAAAAATAGGGACAACTATCGACTCATTCCATGACGTTGGAACACTCTAGTTCCCAGACCTTTGTACACAACATCGTCAGTTCCTTAGTCAGAAAGTCACCACCATCTTTAAAAAGAGCCGGAGGTAAGTCATCTGGGCCAGGTGATTTGTAACGCTTCAAGAGTTGGAGTTCCTTGTGGACTTCCGCCTCATTTGGTGGATCAGTCGTCACCGGCCATGGAGGGCAGGACAGTCTGACCGATGTTGCCGGAGCAGCAGGCCAGTGGAACTGCCCTTCGAAAAATTCTGCCCATCGTCCAAGACGTCGATGGATATTAGTGATTGGCATCCCATCATCCTCGCAGATTGTTTCACTCACACCAGACTTCTTGCTGCCAGTGGCTCGGATGAGTTGGAAGAGCTTCCGATAGTTACCAGATGCAGCTGCTGCTTCCAGCTCATTAGCACGCTCCTACCACCAGGCTTCTCGGTCCTTACGCAAGCTTTGCCCAATTTCATTAGGTAACAGTCGTCGTTCGTGGTCAAACTCATGGTCAACCGGAGTAGATCGACGGGCTTCAATGAGTTTGAAGGAACCAGAAGTAACCCGGTGCATATAAGCGGGTCCTTTCGCGAAGCCGCAAGCGGCTTTACTCGCCATTTTCATGGCGTCATGCATTTGCAACCAATGCTCATCTATACTTTTCGGTGGAATGGTAGCTAGCCTAGAAACTAGCTCGGTTCGATACTTACTAGCAACAGAAGTTGCAACCAGCCTGCTAACATCAATCCGTTGGTGGCGGTCACTTCGTTGGCCATTGAAAAGTAAGGTAAGATTGGCGCAGACCAAGGCATAGTCAGAGTCCAGATAGGTACTCCAAAAAGAGTGGCAGTCTTGTACACAACCACACCAGCGGTAGCTGATCGCGATGTGATCAATCTGAGTCCAGGCTTGAGATACAGAGGGTGAACGCCAGGTGGCACATCGGCGATGACTGTGCTGAAATTTAGTACTAGCCAGAAACAGGTTGTAGTCTGTGCACAATTGCAGTATACGGTCCCCGTTATCTGTCCTGCGACCAACAAGTCCCCATCGGCCACCCAAACGATTCTCTTCTGTGCCTAGACGCCCGACCTGAGCATTCAAGTCTCCGGCTAGTACTACAATATCTGTCGAACGCACTTTCTGGAGAAAAACAGATAACTGGTGGTAAAACTTATCTTTGATTGCATCCTGGCTGCAATCTGTCGGGGCATAAGCGGAGATGACGAGAAGACATCGTTTCTCACGCCGATTTCTTCTCAATTTGATGGAACTCTCTAATCTAACAGCACATAACCGACTGTTAATGGGGATCCAATCGATTAGTGTTGCCTCAGCTCTAGCGCTTAGTGCGACGCCAACGCCAGCAAGGCCAGACGAAGATGCCACAGGGTCCCCGGATAAACGCACGTAAAACAAGCTTTTTGAAGCGACAGACGGAGCGCGAATTTGTAATATTTCACCAGAGTCTTGAATACAGGTCTCTGATAGACAACAAACATCGATATTAAGACTTTCTAAAGACATAGCCAGCCCTATCTGTTGTCCGACCTGCATAAGTGTGCGAACGTTGAAGGCAGCCAGTTTGAATGGTGCACGTGGTTTCAAAAACACTGCTTCAGTTCTCGTATTCGGTGGTAACATACAATTTTCAACCAAGCAGTGACTCGAGAATGTTTAGATAGAGCCGAATTTCCATCATAGGCGAGCTGCTGTATTAATCGAACAAATAAGTATAAACAGAGTGGGAATAAAAGAGGGTGAATAATGATGTGGTAAATAATAATAATAATAATAATAATAATAATAATAATAATAATAATAATGCGAGTCACTTGATTGTTATTTGGAGCGAGAGGAATATTTTTCATAAGTAGACAGTTTATCATGTTTTTGTGTGCGGGCTGAGATACTGCCCGGGTGCCCAAACCGAAGCAGGTGGTTATCTTAGGGGGCCACTCCCCGAGCCTTTGACCTAAAAGTCTAACCCATAAGGCAGTGGAACATCGTGAGGAGATGAAGTCCCATGGTAGCCGGTGACCAAGGAATTGGTTCATATGCCATTCGTTCCCACAGGATACTGGAGCCCATGTACACCATTGATTTGGGGTCCGGTTAAAGCGCCGGGCATTCGCTTTTCGTCCTCTCATTTTCGTAAACAACACCCCCGCCACGAGAAGGCAGTGAGTAGGACTTCATTGGCAGAGGCTGTATACGCGTGGCCGTGTGAGAGTATTTCGAGGGGGAGGGCGAACTCACCCCGCTCTTAGCCATACCAAGGCATTTGGGGGCTGACTTCATGGACTGATGCCACGTTTCATTTCCCGCATTTAACTCTCTTGCGAACCATTTCTGCACTAGCAAGCATCAATTACCAAGGTATGACGTGGTTTAACATATATAACACATTCCAATCATTTTTCAATCAAGTTTCCCTACCTCATCAACACATCAACCAACATTGCCAGATATTTCTAAGCCAAATCTTAACATTGCTCATTGGATCATTCCAATTAGCACCAATAACTCTTTGAAGATACCTATGATCACAGATCTACAGCCTATGTGAGTCTTTTACTTTCTCAGAACATGTGTCATACTTATGAAGTAGAACATGGTGGTTCGCTGTGCAGCATACACCCCGTTTGTTTAGGAGACGGGTATCTCACTAACCCAACAACTGATGAAAGTTGCCAAATCCCAACGAGCTTTACTGAACCCGTTTAGACATTTCGTCAGACAACAACTGTTATAATCTCTTTCTTACGGTTATGACACGGCTATTCCTAATGCTTAGTATTCTCGGACACCGATTCACTCGACAAGTCCCCAAATCAGAACACGGTTGAACAGGAAAGAGATTATATTCGAAATAACAAGGTTAGATGGAAGTAAGAAGCACAATAGGGAGAACGTTAGTAAATTTATAGTTTTTACATGAGAAGATTCCAAAGTATTCTCCAAGTATCGGTTAGTGCTGATTGGCTAACTATAATCCAATCAGCGTGCACCAGAGCAATCGTGCATTGAGCATGCTTTAATCCAGTCTATGTCCCGCTAACACCAACCTTTTGAGGTTGGTCAGACTTCCGAGATAAGTGAGACAGTCAACGCGCTCATCTACTTCACTCTCTGTCACTAGTTCGGAGATCAACGTAGACCAGTCCTAAAACAGCATTTTGCATTTATTAGGACATCCCAAACATGGTTGTATCAATGCTCAAGGCGAAAAATTCCATTTTATCAGAAGCTTTACCAAACAGAACTATGTCATCGAAAAGCAGACCAATTGGAAGGGGATTAGTCCTGAACAACCCCACTTGAAGTTGACAGTTCTGTTAATAGCTAACCATAAGCTCTGACCTGATCATTAGTACATGGATAGAGAGCTTTCATTTGATTCTAGGGTCTCATCCAGTGAAGTCCGTTGTCCGACTTGACTTACGGTTCAGACATCAAAATACTCCAAAATGTTGTTCAGATCGTGGATTCAGGAGGCCCGAGATAGTATATTGTGAATGTGGACTACTATCATTGGTGGCACATACTGAAGAAGTCTAAGATAAATGAGGGTTGATAATGGAAGTAGGAGTAAAATTTGGTGATAAAGATGGGGTTTGACTATGAACTCGGTAATCTCGTATGATATTAGAGAAATGAGAGTTGTCATTTTACGGCTGCTTACATCGTAGGAGACTTACGTTGAGAGATCTGGAAAAGAACTGGGTTGATAGTGATCTTATTGATCAAGGTGTGACTGCAGAACTCAAGGAGTAACTTCATGAGGTCGATCATCCACGGACTTTGTGTGATGAGTCCTTGACATGCCAGCTCCGTACTTTATAAAGGGGTGTGGATTAGGGTGAGGAGTAGCATTTTTTAACTCCTTCCTCCCCATTGAGAGGGAAACACCTTACTTTTATCACACAACTCTATAGTCATCAGAAAAACTTCGCTATCGGACTGCACTCAGTTTTACAGAACTCCGACCAACCTTCCAGGAATGAATGTGTTTCAGCCATTAGAGCTTGACTGGTTCGTTAAGATATCTAAGCCCGATCATTATGTCAAGTTAGTGGCTACGGTTGAGTCTCAGCTTAATAATAGTGAAAATACAGGCTGAAGGAAGATGTATTCCTTAAAATGAGTCAAAGGTCCACAACGAGAGTAGTAATATTGTGCACTTTCCATCTCCGGAAATGGTCTCTTGCGATCATCCTTACATTTTTGACTTCTAGACATTAGTGTAAACTACCCGATTACGATTGGCTTGGACCCACTGCTCTTCTACGGTGGAACCATCAAGTTAGCAATTATGAGTTTGGGTATAATTTAATATATAGATATATAGAATTGGTCAATCAGGTAGTGAATGCATGCCTGAACACCCTTTACATCGGTCTTCAATGATGATGGGATTATGGGGTTGGGAAGCGACGAAGCGAAAATATGGGAGTAATTTATAAGATCACACTGCTGGACTAAATGACGTCAAAATGTGCAGAGCACAACGTCATGCACTTCTTAGCGTACTTAAGTGAGATGATTCACAATCGAACTCAGTAGTCAGAATGCACTTCTTTACATTATTCTTACGAAAGTCGAGTTACAATGCAATTTCATGCATCATATTACTCTGCCTTGTTTAAATTTTTACGATCCACGAGACAATGGTTACAGGTCTTTGAGTTTCGTTAGTTTTTATGTTATGCGCTGACGTAAAGAACAGCAACTTGGACCGAAAGAACTGTGTGAGTTGAGCCATATATATAAAGCGTACATGAATTGAGTTATTTGCGGACGCCGTTTGTAGCAGAATGATTGTGAGACTTAATCAGCAACCAATACTTCAATTATCCAATTTTAATACAACTGAGTAATTGAAAGAACATCAATACCACTGACTTGCAACAAAAGCTTTGTGAAAGGTGGTGATAATAGATATAACAGAGCGAAATAATTGATGCATAGTGCGAAATTGATAGTTGAAAGTTAGTTACACCAATTACTATGCTTATAACATGGAAAATAAGATATCAATACCTTTCACGCCCTGAATTAATTTGGTACATGGCATTTACGACTAGATAATACTATGATTTCCAAATTCTGAAAAACCTTAAAGAATCTGTACGTTCCATTACGTGTTGTTCTTGGTAAGATATGCTGACAAGATGATTCTGTGTAGCAAATAATCTGTGGGGAAAAAATTTGCTGTAAAAACTGTTAGACATCCTTTAACCGTATGAGTATGAGACAATTGTTAATTAGCACAGATTCTAGAAGTTAAATTTGGACACCACATATGCGGTACAGCAATATATACAGGAAATAATCACTGTTATTAAAAACTTCCACTTCCGGATCGAAAATATCTAGGAACTAAATGATAGCTAGAAAATGGCTTTTTGTACTATGTGCAATAATTTGTGTAGGTGAAAATTGTACGTCGTTACTTAAAAAAACTAAATTTATCAGCAGCACAAAACAACTTGAATTATTCGAAGAGACCAGACAATAATATACCTTATGATAACAGTTATGGGCGTTTGTAGAAGAGCCTAAGTTATCTTACCTCAGTAAACAAGACATTAAATTGCGTGAAAAACACCCGAATAAATACAATACGTGTTTCTAACCTCATTTAATTTCTGGTTTGTCATACTTCAAGAATGAGAGTACAGAACCGGAGAAACCTCCATAATCCGCGAGTTCTAAAACTCCCAGACTACATTAACAACCCAAGGTCACTGCAATTGTTATTTCAAACACTTTAAAAAATTAGTCAACACCCGTAAATCTGTAGCCCACTTCGTTTCTAACGTTCAATACACAAACTGAATAAAAAATGTAACGTGATTTCATTCACTTATTGATTAGATTCTGAACAAAATAGCATAAATTTTTTTGTGAATTTCATTTCAGGCTCAAACTTTATATTTGTTTGCTACTTTAACCCGACAAGTTCAAAATCGTAATAAAAGTGTGTCCATAGAAGATAGATTTAGATTAACGAAGTGAACTATCCAATGTAAATCATGCTCTTACTCTCTCCGTGAGCGCTAATTAAAAGGACAGTGGTATTTTTCCTCGCTGAGTAAATTCTATTGTTTTGATCGTTCATTACGAATCAAGACTACTGTTTTCACTTTAATTGAATCTATTTCAGTTAAAGTATTCGACTAGAGCATCGTTTACTGTTTTTCAATTAGTTTATCGTCGGTACTCTTGAGTACCTTATTTTTCTACTGTATCTGTTAGTAATTTTGGACCTAACAATCTACAGTCCATTAACTTTTTGGTCATAGATCATCTTTTGTCTCTGGGTATTATTGCATCTCGCTCTTTTTGTTTTCAAAAGGACCCCTTTCTAATGACCGGACTGCAAAAAAGCAGTTGCCGACGTACGGATTGTCGTTATCCTGTTGAAAGCGGCATGCAGTGCGATGAGTACAAAGGCTGGTACCACGAAGTTTGCACGAATTTAACGCCTGCGACTTTCAAAAGGTTCAGTAAAAAGGGTTGCGTTTGGCTTTGTCAACAGTGCTCTTCGGATGCAAACAGCTTGTTAACCGAGGCCATCTCACTGGTAGATGCTGCGAAAAAATGTTTTAGCAAGCGTAGTCGGGACACATCAAACAGCACTCTCTCTGTCGACAGGCAAATTGATATGTAGCAAACTCAGGTGGATTCGAAAAAAGGTGAATCACACCAGTCGAAGCAGGAAAAACAGTCTCCAAAGAGGTCTGTCTTAAACAAAAACGCGAGAAAAGAATGTATTCTGTTCCCCGTCTTCCAAATGGTATCAGGCATGAAACACCTAGAAGCCGCAATCGCAGGGCTCGATCGGTTTCTAGCGGGAAACATAACCTGACCTCCCAGGTCATCGATAACCCCCCAGAATCCAACAGTAGGTTTGATGCAACTGTTGTTGCTTCTCCTAGCACTGTTGACGAATGGGTACAGGTTGTAAGGAAGAAACATCATATATAAAAGGGGACCCTTCCCCCGTAAAAGTAGTCGAAAAATCGAAAGCTGATCACAGCGACAGATCAGTTGTTTTTCATAGAATCAAGGAGAGTGAGAGCTCCGAACCAAAAGCTCGTTTTGAGCATGGCATTGTGCTGATTAAACAGCTGCTTAATCAACCCATGCCTCACAATATCACCAGGGCCACCTTGCTAAAGGTGTACAGATTAGGTAGTCTAGCGAACTTGAAACCAAATCGATCTAGACTGCTTAAGGTATTATTTAAATCTTCAAACAAACGCGACCTAATTTTACAGAATGGACATAAGTTAAAGGGTTCAGGAGTTTTTATCCTCAAGGACTTGCCATTGGCAGACCGTGTAAAAAGACGGGAAGCCGAAAAAGAACTACAACTTAAGTTAGACACTGGCGAAAGGGACCTAGAAATTGTGAATTTTCGGGTTGTATAGTTCGACAGAGAATGATGCCGAAGCCACTCTGGGTGAAGCACGAAGCCACTTAAATATGCTTCGGATCCGCTACACTAATGCCCGAAGCTTACTTAATAAGCGATCGGAACTAGGTGTACACATTGACTCCACAAAGCCAGACATAATCGCAGTTACAGAAACCTGGCTGACGCAGTCTATAGATAGTATGGAACTTGATTTCGAGGGTTTTACGTTAGTAAGGGTCAACAGAATGCGAAGGCGTAAAGGAGGGGTAGTAGCTCTATTCGTTAGGAATGCTATCCCATTTGCTATTATCGTCAGTGTATCCCATGAGAGTGGGACATGTGAATTAGTTAGTTGCCGCTCGAAATACAAGGGACAAGAGCTGCTGATTGATTTGGTCTATCGCAGTTCAAGCTGTGAGGTAAATGAGGTCCTGCTAAGCAGTCTCAATAATTGGTCACATAGTGGTCGATGTCTAATCCTAGGGCACTTTAATGCACTTATGGTAGACTGGGAAAATTTGCGAACTGAATTGTCAGATAATTCCTTCGAGCATGAACTAGTTGATGCGGTTATCATACGTGTCCTAGTGCAACATGTGAAAGAAGCAACTAAGTATGACTTGGACTTCAAATCATCCTTAGTAGATCTTATATTGGCTCACTATGAGGATGACGTTACGAACCTCTATCAAATGCCACCCCTAGGTGAAAGTGATCACACAGTTGTAACTTTCGACTTCCATGTAACTGTTAATCACGAGCACGTGTCAGTCCAATCCAGACCTAACGTCTGGAAAACAAACATACCAGATATCATGCACTCAGCATCGTTAGTAGATTGGACAATAGACCTAGAGTCCTCAAGTGAAACGGCCTGAGACGCATTTCGAAATTCATACTTAAAAGTCACCACACCCCACATCCCTTGAACTATACCAAGGGGACCGAGAAACTCCCCACCATAGTTCAGTAGGGAGGTCCACATCCTTCTCCGCAAGAGAAGAAAAATGTGGGATATATTTAGGTTACGGGGGACTGATGAGACAAAATCTCAGCATCGAAAAACTCGGAATACCTGTGCCTCGACCCCCCGTAAGTCTAGAAAGTTGTACGGAGAAAAAATTGTTAAGGAATCCATAGAATGTCCTAAACGTTTGTATTCCTATTTAAACCATAGGACAAAGAGTGGAGGACGACTTTGGCAAGGCTCAAGTGTTCTCGAACTACTTCAGCAATGTATATACCATAGAAGCACCCTTCCCATCAGTGCATACAGATTCCCCACACATACACTGCACAGCGTGACCATTAAAGAACTTCATGTCTTTGATCTACTAAAAATGATTGACAACGATAAATCCACGGGGCCCGATGAATTACATCCTAGGCTACTGAAGGAATTATCTAACTTCGTTGCGAACCCTTTAAGTATATGGTTTAACCTATCCGTAACACAGGGTCGTTTAATAAGAGACTGGAAAAACACCATAGTAGGTCCTGTCTTCAAAACACGTACGAAACACAAACCTGAGAATTATCGACCCGTTAGCTTGACTAGTGTGGTTGTTAAAATCTTAGAAAAGATTATTCGGAAGGAGCTGTTTAAGTACCTCTATGAAAACCGGATCCTTTCGGAAAACCAGCACGTTTTCAGAATAGGTTATTCTTGTCTCACTAACTTATTAGTGGCTCGTGAAAGGTGGTGCGTTCTTAAGGACCAAAAGTTACCTGTAGACGTAGCCTACACAACCGGCTGTTATATAAGCTAAGAAATGTCGGAATTGGAGCCAGTCTATTGATGTGGATGAAAGACTTCTTAGTTGGGCGTCAACAAAGAGTAAGGGTGAGCTCAAAGTTATCTAGCTGGGAAGCCGTGCTTAGTGGAGTGCCCCAGGGTACAGTTTTGGAGCCAGTGCTATTCCTCTTGTATGTAAATGACCTTGTCTCCTATCATCACCGGTCTTGCTATATGCTGACGATGTCAAGATATGGAGAACGATACAATGTAGGGAGGGTGGAGTTACTGACCAGCAAGCATTGATGGTGAGGGCGATAACTTCAATCCACCCGTGTTTGTGGGGACAGAACATTCTGTATGTATCAGGCTCCTCATGATTGAGAATAAGTCAGTCAATCTGTGATATAGATTGTCTTCCTACGCTCACCACTCAGACTCATGTTTCCAATATTATGCTGGATTAGCTATTCTACTAAGACAACCTATAACATGCTAACCCGGACTTTTACACTAGAATTGCGTGGCTGAAATCGGATGGACAAAAAAAAGAAAGGAAAAAAGACAATAAAAGATATAATCACTAGTATTCTTAACACTTCACCCTCTATATACACACCCTTCTAATAAACCGCTTCCCTTGTACCAACCTTGACTTCCCTTCTTTCATGTGAGCTTACTCCAACTTGTTAAACATCACAACTCATTGTTCTTTATTAGTACATTTGTGGAATTATGGTCTACTATGATATTAGTACTGCTCTAATAATAGACCTAATCCTAAATTTGTAGATTTGTCATGATATAACTGCCTAATCTCTAAGATCTTACATGGAAGTTACACCATCAACTACACCAACTCACTGTATCGTATCAATTACCATTACATGATAAAGAACAAGGTTAGGCTAGAGAAGGAACAATATATTTAATATGAATAGAAGATATAAGGTAACATTCAGATGGACCACGCCTGCATGGTCGAGCCATGCCATCCGATCAACTTCAATTCATTCAATTATCTGTTCCCGCCTTTTCCATCGTTAGGTATTTCCCCGCTTTAAATATTGAATATCTATTTTCCGAGTAGTGTTGTGTTCAGCTTTGAAAATTGTGTGGTTATGGTCCAATGCCACTACACATTCTCTAATATGGGGCCTCTGACTTCACTTCACTCTAACAAGACATAATATGAATTTATTCTAATTTATTATACCTCTGTCCGTTCTACTACACAATGTTAAGCAACGTTTGGCGTTCATATCCAAGTGCCTTGCTGCTCTTCTGTTTCTCTTTTTTTCTTTTTCAGAATCTTGCTCTGAGAGCACAGCTATGAAACTTCTGACGTTTGGAGCAAACTTGACGTACGCGTCCTCTCAAGGTCATAGTTTACAGCAAGCGCTCTACGATTTCACTTTATAACAACTATAAACTTAATAAGTTGGGAAGCATTTTGCGAACCAACAAATGTTGTAATTTATAGATCATGCCTGTAAAAACGG